CACACCAAAAATCAGTGGACGTCCTGGGGTCTCAGGGTTGGGTTTCTTGTGGAAGGTTTCTTGTGGACTGGCCTCCACCGTGCCGCTGTGACAGGATCTTCGGGCAGCGGACCTGGGGGCCGTCAGGCTGTGCGGCGCGTGCCTCCTCGAGATCGGGGACGGGGGCGTCACCGTCCAGGGGGCGGGCAGGAGGGGCAGGGACAGGACGAAGCGGCGGCTCTGCGAGACCAGGGGTGACGACGAGGTCCTGGCCGTGCTGGACTGCTGCGAGCCCAAGCACACCTCGAAGAACAGAAGACTGCATAGGCACAAACTGTCGGATTTCCTGGGTCTGCGCTGGAGCCCCCTGGCGGCGCCTCCGGCGCCGCCCCTGGCGCGCCCCGCGCACCTGAGAGGGGGACTTAGCCAAGGTCCTAGAAATCCGCGCGGACCTCTGAAAGCTTGTTTTTATGCAGTTGTTTCTTCCTCGCACATCTTCCACGTCGACTGCTTGGAGAAGTGGGCAAGCCGCGAGAACTCGTGCCCGCAGTGCAAGCAGCGCTTCTCCGAGTACGCGGTGTACAGCCGGGAGCTGAGGCTGTCTCGGGTGCTCCTGGGCAGGAAACATACGATTGGGAATTTGGGCTTAGCGTGTCGCTCCGCCTGATCTGGCCCACCGCGCTTCGGTGCGACACGCTAACCGCGTGCTGGTTCCCAAGTGTCAACGCCACCAGCCGTTTCCAGCCTCCCGCCCCGCGATGTGGAGCAACACGCAATCCGCTCGCAGGACATAACTTGTCGCGGGAGCCGCCGCTGCGACACGCTGAGCAAAACTTCCGCACCGTCTGATCCCTGTCTGCAGCCTCAGAGGGCCCCTGCACCGTGGCACCATGGATACGAGGTGCTGTTTGCGCGGGTGCCCCCGCGCGGGAGATGCCCGTGCGACCGCGCATCCACGGGATCGCGCCCCAGAGCTCCAGACCGCGAGGGCGTGGATATGGACATGTTCGCCGCGCGTGAGGTGTCCGGCGTCGCGGCGCGCCTCCAGACGCCGGCGACTGGGCTCGACGAGTTCCACGGCGCGGAGGGGGCGTGCCGGCTCTGCGGCGGGGTCCACGACGAGGCCGCCCTGCTCCTGTGCGACGGGGATGGCGGCCTCTGCCCCGCGTCGTACCACTACTACTGCCTGGGGCTCCCGGGCATCCCCGAGGGCCTGTGGCGCTCGAGGGAGGGAAAGGGTCACAGACAGGAGAGTTGGCCGAGGTCCGCGCGGATGTCTTGGATTGGCGCCGAGCCCCCCTGGCGGCGCCTCCTGCGCAGCCTCCGGCGCGCTCCGTGCGCCAGGGAGGGTGGGTCCAGCGCAGATCCAAAAAATCCGGGCGGACTGCCGATAGCTTATACCTACAGGCTCCTGGGGGTACGTTTTCTCTGGAAGCATGCAGGAGGAGGGGACCCAGACCCCCGACGTCAAGACTTTTCCATGACGTGCACCATCTGAAGTCTCGACCCGTTCCCCGGGTTATGATGTTCAAACCTCCTTTAGCTTGGGTCACCAGAAAGAATTTCGAGCACCAGGAAATTACCGAAATTGGAGGGTGTTCACGCGTCAGGCCCTGGGAGGCGATACTCGTTCGACACTGTTTCGATACTCTTCGGGGCCCTCGAAATTATTTCTGGGATGTGGTCCTTGAGTACGATGGAAGCAACATAAGCCCCGGGACCGGTTTCTCATTCCGCATCGCTCTGTTGACGAGGCCCCCCAGAGGCCGACCATTTGTGCGAGCAAGTTTCCCGCCGTGCTTGCTTCATGACCCGAGGGGCTCTGGGAAGAGAGAGAGAGAGAGAGAGACGCCGTCCGCCTTCTAGATATCGGAGGCGGATAGACCTCCTACCCTGACACGTCGATTAAGGAATTGGCCGTTTTCGGTTCGCGAGAGGGCGTCGCGGCCGTCATTTTGCGGGTCCAGGTCCATCGGTTTAGGTAGTAGGCCGTTTTCGTTAAGAGAAGAGAGAAGTCAGGAGGGAAAGAAACACACACAGACACAATGAATCGTCGATTCCCCCGAAACTGAGGGAAAACATGGGCAGTGGGGGGGGGGGAGACAGAACCCGGCAAATAGGGGAAAACATAGGGGGAGTCTGGTTATCTCTGTGTGTATTACTTTGTGTATGTCCCGGGGCCCCTTCGAGAGACGCCGCCCGCCTTCTTCTATACCCAGACATGCGACATCCGGATTTTTTCAGGACGGCGTCCCTGGAAGTCCCGACCCTTTCCCCGGCACCGGTTTTTCGTCTCGCGAATCGTTTTGTTGACGGTCCCGAAGCCCGGCGAGGGCCCCCCGGGGCCGAAACTAACGAAACACCTCCCGTCCTGAAGGTTTAACGACGCCATCTCCCGGAAAATAGGGGCAAAGATGGGGAACCTTGCCATCTGTGTG